ATATAATAAAACTCAAAATTTATATTTTTACATTTTTTCAATTTTTTTTGACTTTTCGAAAAAAAAAACGGAATATATGTGATAGAACGCATTATTATGACTAACTCTAGCAAGTTTTAGCTAAATATCTTCAAAAATGGCCAAGTTATACGCATTATTGCAAAAAATTAACAATTATTAATTTGTCAAATCAATTTTTCAGCATGAATTTGACATCGTACGCCAATATAAATAGCACCATCGTGCTCCTGAGCTCAAATTGCATCCAATAGACACCTTTTGTGTTGAAAAATTTTAACTTCAAAATTTGACCTTTTTTGACCTGAAAGTGACCTGACCTGAGCTAAATTTGACTCAAAATGACCTCGAATGACACAGACGACATCAAATTCGAAATATCTGACCTAAATGGACCATAAAACATGTGTCACGTGACCGACGGATGATATAATATTTTCGTGACCTGTGATGACCTGACCTTGACCTGAAAATCAAAGTACAAGTTTGGTACCCTCAGAGTATCTAGAGCATCTGTTCACGAGTGTGTGAATCAAAAATGAGCCTGATCTGACTTGTAAGACGGCGGCCAGAGCCCAAAATGTGAAGAAGCCAAAATGCTAATAATTTTTACTTTGACCTGACCTGTGACGTCATCGGTGACCTCGAGGTCAATGAAATTAGGTTTCGTTCGACAGTTTTTCCGGGGCTATCAGACGCCGTTTGAATTTTGACGATCGGCCCAGTAGTTTCGGAGTTAGGAGGGGGGCTATGAATAGCCCCCCCCCCCCCCCAGTAGGGCGTGTTATACGCAGACCCCAGTGGGGCGCGGGTTAACCCTCGCCCGTATTGGTGTTTTTCCAGCCGCGAACGTATAAGGGGGGGGTCCGTTGGACCCCCCCCCCTTGCCGTTTCGCCCCTGATCGAGCTAGAGCTTCGCGGAAAAAACGAGCGTGTTGCCCGTGACGAGAGGAAGCCGATGATACCTAATTTTAAGGTCCTAGGTCATTGGTTGACCTTGCAGGTCAGGTCAATGACCCAAAAGTCGGGAAAATCGGGACCTGTTAGAACGTCGTAAAGTGTGGCTGCTATGGGGTTTTTCGGGGCGCTGATCACGAATATCGTGTTAGTTTTGATCACAGATGATGTCTTTATGCATTTAGTCCAGGTCGGGTCAGGTCAGGTCAGGTCAACCAGTACCTAGGGGTCCTGCCGGGTATTCCTAGTAGGTGTCAACCGCCTCTGACAGCTTCGTAACATGTTACGAAGGCACCAAAAACTACTTCGTAAATGTTCATATGGTTGCTAAATTCGAATTCAGCTCCAAAAACTGGCCTAGAAACATGTAAAACTCGAAAAAGTGAACCGAGGTCACCAAAGGTCAATGACCTGACCTGACCTTCAGGTGACCTTGACACCCACCCTAATGCATGGGGGCAGCATCATATCACATGTTTGAACGCTTGAAACCACGAAAAGACTGCAAACGCGCGGCTAATGCGAGCCGACATACGCCGAATCGCGATTCCGGCCAAACATGGTCTCGAAAAGTAGGTCACAGGTCAAAGGTCATTGGGGTCAGGGTCATGAAATTTTCAGGGTAGGTGTAAAATTGATTAACGCGAGGGTACTGAAAGTTTCGTCGTGATCGGCCGCTTTTTACGCGAGTTATTCGCGAAAAACCATGGGGGGGGTACGTTCGACCCCCCCCTCCGTTTTTCTTGAATAACTCATGAACCGCTTGCGCTATCAACTTGAAACTTCGCATACCTTCTCCCCCATCAATTTGACGTCTCCTGTGCAATTTTTAAGAAAAAATTTTCAAAAATTTCTGAGATATATCGATTTTAGTGATGTAACTACATGGCGTTTTCAGTCAAAAAATGGTAAATGTTTAAAAAAATCGCCAAAAATCGAGGTTTTGAGCAAATTGCAAATTAAGGACATGAAAAGACGCAGCTCAACGAGTTCTTTAAAATGGCTATCTCGGAATTTCCATAAAATGCGTTTTTCACCCCTAGAAATTCAAAAAACTATATTTTTTGGAAAACAGCTAATAAAATCCAAAATTTTGAGAATTTCCAAAAAACCGGAATATATGTTATAGAGCTCTATTAGAACATTAGATGTCCCAAATTTCAACTTTCTATCTTGATTTTTGACCCCCAAATTGTAAAAAATAGCTCCAACATGCATAGGGCATGGTGACGTCATAAACATTTTAGCGAATTAGAGGCACTTCTGAACATCGCATGTGAAAACAAATGGCACCACTAGATTCCTGGGACAAAGCTCTTCTAGAAAAGTGCATTTTTATGTCAAAAATAAAAAGTTGAAAAAATGACCTTTTTTCTCAGCCCTCGTTTAGTATAAACGATTTTTTATGCTTTCAATGCACACTTATCACCAGCACAGTGACTTGGGGCCACATATAACCATTACCATCGGATTTGGCGTGAAAAATAAGCCATAAAACATGTGTCGCACGCCCATGTAGCAGAAAGTGAAAACCGTGACCTTTCGTGACCTGACCTGACCTTGACCCGTACTTAGTATGACCCATATACGCACATGGTACCTTCACTAGGTCTTTGAGGTCATTTGTGGTGAGTTTCGAGCAGCAGCTATCGATTCCGCTGTCCGTAAGCCTAATCATGCAAAACCCCTGAATTTGACCTTTGACCTGACCTTGACCCGAAAGTTGACCTCAATCTTAAAATCTTAAGAGTGCTTTGGGAAGGTCTCGTAGAGACCTTTCGAACGCCGCCTCGCTTGGCTCGATACGACCATTGGTTCTCGAGATAACAGGGGGGGGGGGTCGGATCCGACCCCCCCCCCCCCCAGGCTGATGTGGGTACGGAAATAGCCCAGGCGGTGCCGGGTTAACAGACGTTTCAAGAAATATTGCCTGAGGTCACCATAATTAAAACGGCTGATGAAGTAGCATCCAGGGAATCGACTGGTGATTTTTTCGTCTCGATAGGTCCCGTAGTTCATGAGTTATAGAATGGCTGCAATAGGCGAAAATGCTAAGTTGACCTTTGAAGTTTGAAGGTCACTGAGGTCACCTGAGATCACTGCAATATTGAAAACGACTTGTAAAATCGTATATTCTTATCCGAATGCTGCCTCGTTTGTCCTAATCGGCCGAGTAGTTCTTGAGCTATAGGATAGCTGCAAATTTGGCAGTCGAGTAGTGACATGTATTTCCCATATATGACGCAGAAAAGACAAAATTGGTAGCGCGGCCACAGGCCACTCGCAGGGGGCCGTTACCGTCCTAACCTTTACATATTTTCTTATAGGTATCTTCTTGTAATGTAAGTATCGTTTCTTATGGGTATATTCTTGTCCTATACCGCATCGTCATCACTCGCTTGGCCAAGCGCTTTTGGCCCGCTAGGCCCAAGGCTTCAGCTTGGCCACTCGGGCAGCGCGCGAATCGCGATCCTGATTCGTCAAACGCTGTAAGTGATCCATGCACGCTGTAATTTAAATTTGGCGTTGGGGCCTTCCTATCTGTGCAGCATTGTTTTCGCCGTAGATACTTTCGAGAATTCAAGAAAATCTGATCCTGTTCAACTGGGACAAGTGTGCAAAGTGGAACGCTCGAGCCTGACTGCTACGCGCGCTTATAAGACAAGGAAGATATTCTGGTTTAGGGGTATGTACCAAAGCTATGTAGGTACATTTTTTCCCTTTAGAATGAGGGTTCCGCAAATGGTGGTGACTGGCATAGGCGGCGGAACGAGGAGGGCACCATGCCCCCTTTGTTTTTGGCATTTTTACATTTGCCCTATTGGCGTTGCATGGAAAGAATGGGACCAAAGATTGGCAGTGCCCCACCCTTAACTGAAGGTGTTCTGCCACTTCTTGGGAGTTGGGACTGGGAGCCCAGTATTTATTTACTTTAGGTCCGCAAAACAGACGGATAAGTAAAAGCCATTCGCATCATGTTCTAAGGCTTCCTGATTTCATTTCTGATACTTATTCCTTCTAGAAACCAATTCAAAAGCACCAGTACACTTTACTATTTACCATCACCACCAACCTACCCCTCTCACCTCTGACAGGAACCGAGCAGTGTGCGGTTCCCAGCCACCACCGACCTAATACAGCGCCACACCCTGTTAGGACCACGCTCACCAATCTCGCTCTGTAATCTGTATGTTGCGGCGCCTGTCACTGCGTATAGCGGAGCGGACGGCCCGAGCTCTGTTCGGTCGCTGCTTTTTTATCAGCATGCTGTCGGTTATGCCATATAAGGAAGTTATTGCTGGCGCTTCTTGGCCTCTCATTGCTCGAATGAATAGATCACGTGAATTCGACCAATGAAGAGCCAAGAAACAGCAGCATGCTCGCAGCCTGCTGATAAGAAACTGCAACCGAACAGCACCCCGGCTTAAATCGCGGAACTCGGCGGAGTCCCGGCCGGCGTGAGTCAGCGCTGCCCCGCGGCGGGCCATCAGGTCATGGTTACAAGCGGCAGAATCCAAATGTATCTTATTGCGTGAAAAAATGACTGGGTTTCACATGTGGTTTGGGAACACTAGCCCGAACACTGATACCTACAAAAATTTCACACATTTATGCTCACACATAGCATACTGAGTCACGGAGAAGTTGCTCCTCTCGCTGCATTGTTCCAGACTATATAGGGGTCGGGGTATGCTCACGGTCGATCCGCTCGGCGTGATAACGACCCCCCGCGCAGCCAACCACTAAACGAGATCGGCCGACGCCGATTTTCCATTCCTGCGCCCCAATTGTACCACTGCCTGCCCGTGTTTCAGCTGCCCGGCTGCTGAGCGATGCTGACACAATGAGCGCGCTCACTCTGCGCCTGGAGGTGCCCTTTGAGTCGGAGCAGCACGCCCAGATTGCCTACAACTCGCTGCGCGTGGACCGCGAGCCGTCGCGCGCCACCACCCGCCGCCGGCTGTCGGTGGCTGCCGACCGGCTGGTCGCCCACCTGGAGGCGCCCGACGCGCGCAGTCTGCGCACGGCCGCCAACGCCTTCCTGGACCTGGTGGTGCTGGTGTGCAGGACGCTGGAGCGGTTCAGCGCCGAGCGGCACGCCGCCGACTGAGGCCGGCCACCTGCCGCCGTCCGCCGCGGTCTGCCGCCGGCCGGTATGGCGCTCCGCTGCCGGTGGAGCGTGCGGAGGTGGGCCGCGCGTCTGGCAGCTGCCCGCCGGCCGCTTTTCACCGAGACCGGCGTCTGGGTAAGGCGGTGGCGAGCGGCGAGTTGCGCCGCGCCGGGGCAGTGGGCTCAGCGCCGGTCCGCTTCAGGTACTGCTGCTTCCCCAGTCCAGATACCGCTGCCCCGACTGCACAGTCCCCGGTCCAGATACCGCTGCCCCGACTGGACGTCAGTCCCCAGTGTTGATACCGCTGTCCGGAGTGCTCGACTCTGTTGAAGTCTCGGTGTGTTACGGCTATTTGTTATGCCGATAATTGTGGACCGTCTGCGGTAAGTTCCTATTTACGTTGATTACGGCGGACGGACCAGTCGGTCTGTTACTGCCGGACGGACCAGTCTGCTACTGCCGGACGGACGGACCAGTCTGCTACTGCCGGACGGACCAGTCTGTTACTGCCGGACGGACCAGTCTGTTACCGCCGGACGGACCAGTCTGTTACTGCCGGACGGACGGACCAGTCTGTTACCGCCGGACGGACCAGTCTGTTACTGCCGGACGGACGGACCAGTCTGTTACTGCCGGACGGACCAGTCTGTTACTGCCGGACGGACCAGTCTGTTACTGCCGGGCGGACCAGTCTGTTACTGCCGGACGGACCAGTCTGTTACTGCCGGGCGGACCAGTCTGTTACCGCCGGGCGAAGCTAAACTTTTTTTCTGCTCCCTGTTCAGTCTCGTTACTACCATTGTTTCAAACGTGGTTTAACCCGCGCACCGACGGGGGGCGGATATCCGCCCCCCCCCTGAGGTTTTTCGCGGATAGCGGGAAAACCGCGGCGCGAAATTTGGTATGACTATTCTCTCATCAATTTTGCACATCGTGTGCAAGTTTGAACCTCATAACTTTCAAGGTCAGGTCACCAGGTCACTTTGAACGACCCAACCTCAAGTCACTTTTTTGCAAATTTGTCACCGTGCCAGAGCTACAGTAGATGTCAGAGGCCTTTGAAAGTCGCAGGATGTTATTAGGTCATTAGTAGCTACAATTTGTATATCTCGGAATTTTGATGTCGGTGACCTAAGGTCAGGTCAATTTCACGACCTCCCCATTATAAGTCAATGGGGGAAAAATCAACTCCCTGTTTTTACCACTAAAACGGGTCGGAATGGCCCCATATACCATACATGACTTCATATACGATCAACCTTCACTACCTTGAGGTCTGTTTTGCTGTTGGGCAGCTGTAAGGTCATGTGACGTCATCAAAGGTCACCAGCGGTTTTTTGCCAATAACTCCGTACAGGAACAAGATACAGCCGCGCGGATGGTCTCATTGTGTTCAGCTCGTCACAAGACGCATCGAATGATATACATGATGACCTTTCGAGGTCAACATATATATCATTCGATGCGGATTGACGAGAGGATCACGATGATGCCCTTAGTTTGTTCCTATCTTGACTAATTCGAAAGTTATTCGAGAAAAACTCTCCATATCTAGAGCCGCCATTTTGACTTTTTCGACCCCTGTGACGTCATCTTTGACCTGACCTGAAAATGAACTTAGTAAAAGTTGTAGACCTTGTCCGTGCGTATCCGATGCCGTTTACCGCTTGTCGCTATCTTGCTTCGTTCTCGAGATCTCAGGGGGGGGGGCGGTCATCCGCCCCCCCCCCCCGTCGGTGCGAAGTTGGCGGAGACCCCCGTCGGTGCGCGGGTTAAGTGTACCATAAGATAATTTTATGCATATAGCATGCACTTGCTAAAATATGAAGACATTCGGATTTTTAATTCTTTGGGGTTTTCATTTTTTTAATAATAGCCTTACTTTTGGGGGACAGCTTGTAAACACAATATTTTTATCGTTACATGCTTCAGTCTCAGGTGTAGAATGGGTGACCGAAATGTGGCGGCGCCGGCTATGTATGAGCCCGGTGGCGCCGCCTGTGTATGAGCCCGGTGGCGCCGCCGGTGTATGAGCCCGGTGGCGCCGCCTGTGTATGAGCCCGGTGGCGCCGTCTGTGTATGAGCCCGGTGGCGCCGCCCGCAGGAGGAGCTGACTGACGCCGAGCGGCTGGCGGCCGAGCGGCGCTGGCTGGACGTGGTCAGCGATCCGGGCTCGGCGGCGCGGCCGGACGCCGACCTCACCGGCTCCGCCTATGTACTGGCCATGTTCCCGTACCCGTCCGGCCGGCTGCACATGGGCCACGTGCGTGTGTACGCCATCAGCGACGCTGTGGCGCGCTTCCACCGGCTGCTGGGCAAACAGGCGAGTGGCGCGGCCCCGGCTGGCGGCAGCTGGGGACGGACTGGCGGCAGCTGGGGACGGGCTGGCGGCAGCTGGGGGACGGACTGGCGGCAGCTGGGGACGGGCTGGCGGGGAGAGGTGGGGGACGGGCGAGGGCCACCGGGATCTCCCGGCCGACCCCCTGCCGACGGCCCGCCAGGTGGCAGTCGGCGGTCCTGATCTGCTGACGAAAAAATAAATTGCTTGACCGGATCCAAAAAAGTTTAACCATATTCATGTGTTGATTTATATATATTGTTTCAATTTAGCTCGAATTTTCGAATGGACGGAGTGACAGAGCCAGAGCCCACGCTAATCAGAGCTGGTTGCGCAGTCTCCGACCCCTACCGTCCGATCGCGCAATGCCGGGGAACGGAAGAATTTAGATGCCAAAGTTTAGCGTGCCCTTCAAAACCGGAATCGGCTTGTCCCACTTAACTGAATTCAACTGCTGCCACGAACCGCAGACCATCCCACTAGAAGTCTCCAATATCGACGCTCCACCATGGAGCTGAGGAACAGACAACTTTTGGGAAACTGAATAAGACCAGGGTATTATATTGTAAGCTGTGCTATACAATGGTACTGCTGTACCCGCCACCTGCCTGCCGGCTGAGCTGCGTGCGGTGCAAGGACGGGGTCCGTCGTCTAGCCAGTGCAGTGAGTGACTGGATCCGCTGTCCGCCCTCTAACTGGTGACTGGGTCCGACGTCCGCCCGACGCCCTCTGACTGGTACTGGGTCCCTTCTGACTGGTACTGGGCCCATCTGACTGGTACTGGGCCCCCTCTGACTGGTACTGGGTCCCCTCCGTCTGGTATCCGGCCCATCTGACTGGTACTGGGTCCTCTCCGACTGGTACTGGGCCCCCTCTGACTGGTACTGGGCCCCCTCTGACTGGTACTGGGTCCCTTCTGACTGGTACTGGGCCCATCTGACTGGTACTGGGCCCCCTCTGACTGGTACTGGGTCCCCTCCGTCTGGTATCCGGCCCATCTGACTGGTACTGGGTCCCCTCCGACTGGTACTGGGTCCCCTCCGACTGGTACTGGGTCCCCTCCGACTGGTACTGGGTCCCCTCTGACTGGTACTGGATCCCCTTCCTTCTGGTATCGGGCCCATCTGACTGGTACTGGGCCCCCTCTGACTGGTACTGGGCCCCCTCTGACTGGTACTGGGCCCCCTCTGACTGGTACTGGGCCCCCTCTGACTGGTACTGGCCCCCCTCTGACTGGTACTGGCCCCCCTCTGACTGGTACTGGCCCCCCTCTGACCGGTACTGGGTCCGGTGGCCGCCAGGTGGTACACCCGATGGGCTGGGACGCGTTCGGTCTGCCGGCCGAGAACGCGGCGCTGGAGAGGGGCCTGGCGCCCGACCGGTGGACGCGCCAAAACATCGGACACATGCGCGGCCAGCTGCGCCGCATGGCGGCCGCCTTCGACTGGGACCGCGAGCTGGCCACCTGCCAGCCCGACTACTACCGCTGGACTCAGTGGCTCTTCCTGCGGCTGCACCGCGCCGGCCTCGTCTACCGGCGACAGGTGGGGCGCCGGGCGGGGGTCGGGCTGTCCGAGTCACTCCCCCGGCGGGGTCGGGCTGTCCGGGTCACTCCCCCGGCGGGGTCCGAGCTGTCCGGGTCACTCCCCCGGCGGGGTCCGAGCTGTCCGGGTCACTCCCCCGGCCGAACAGAGGGACTCGGCTCGTTCCGCTGAACACGGGCGTCCGCTGGCCGCGGTGATCCCTTTCCCCTGACCTCCCCGACCCCCGCTCCCCTATCCCCGCCGGGTGCGGGTGAGCTGTGACCTCAGACGGCTGACCAGTGACCTGTGCCCGCCAGGCGCTGGTCAACTGGGACCCGGCCGACGGCACGGTACTGGCCGACGAGCAGGTGGACGCGCGCGGCCGCTCGTGGCGCAGCGGCGCGCTGGTGGAGCGCCGCCTGCTGCGCCAGTGGTTCGTGCGCACCACCCGGTTCTCGGAGCGGCTGCTGCGCAGCCTGGACTCGCCCGAGCTGCGCGACTGGCGTGACGTCATCCAGCTGCAGCGACACTGGATCGGACCCTGCGACGGCTGGCGCTTCGAGCTCCAGGTCGGTGGTGGCAGCTGGGTGGCGCGCTGGTGCCGGCCGCGCTGCTGCCGGTGTCGTTGTGCGCGCCCCGAGTGCCGGTCGGTAGCCTGCTGACGCCGCGCCGCCGGCAGGTGGAGCGGTGCGACCCGGACGACTCGGCGCCGCCGCCGGAGCCGCTGCTGCTCTGGGTGGCCGACCCGGCCCGGCTGCCCGTCGCCGCCTTCATTGCGCTGCGGCCCGAGCACCCGCTGGCGGCCGGCGCCGCCGAGCGCACCGGTCTGGCGGCGCGCTGTCCGGCCAGCGGGCGCCGGCTGCCGCTGCTCGTCTCGGCGCGGCTGGCCTACCCGGAGGGCGCGGACGCGCTGCTCTGTGACGCCGCGGACGGGCCGGAGGCGGCGCGGCTGGCCGGCCTGCTGGCCGAGGACGGCCGCCCGCCGCCGGGCCCGCCGCTGACGGCCGCCGAGGTGGTGGCGCGCGGCGGCGGCTACCGCTGCTCCAGCCACCTGCACGACTGGCTCATCTCTCGGCAGCGCTACTGGGGCACGCCGATCCCGGTGGTGCACTGCGCGCGCTGCGGCGCCGTGCCGCTGCCCGAGAGCCGGCTGCCCGTCACGCTGCCGGCGCTGCCCGAGCAGCGGGTGCCGGGCCGATCGCCGCTGCAGGCGGCCACCGACTGGCTCAACACCCAGTGTCCCAGGTGGGGCTCAACACCCAGTGTCCCAGGTGGGGTGACTGGCTCAACACCCAGTGTCCCAGGTGGGGCTCAACACCCAGTGTCCCAGGTGGGGCTCAACACCCAGTGTCCCAGGTGGGGTGACTGTCTCAACACCCAGTATCCCAGGTGGGGCTCAACACCCAGTGTCCCAGGTGGGGTGACTGGCTCAACACCCAGTGTCCCAGGTGGGGCTCAACACCCAGTGTCCCAGGTGGGGCTCAACACCCAGTGTTCCAGGTGGGGTGACTGGCTCAACACCCAGTGTCCCAGGTGGGGCTCAACACCCAGTATCCCAGGTGGGGCTCAACACCCAGTATCCCAGGCGGGGCTCAACACCCAGTGTTCCAGGTGGGGTGACTGGCTCAACACCCAGTGTCCCAGGTGGGGCTCAACACCCAGTGTCCCAGGTGGGGCTCAACACCCAGTGTCCCAGGTGGGGTGACTGGCTCAACACCCAGTGTCCCAGGTGGGGTGACTGGCTCAACACCCAGTATCCCAGGTGGGGCTCAACACCCAGTGTCCCAGGTGGGGTAACTGGCTCAACACCCAGTGTCCCAGGTGGGGTGACTGGCTCAACACCCAGTGTCCCAGGTGGGGTAACTGGCTCAACACCCAGTGTCCCAGGTGGGGCTAAACACCCAGTGTCCCAGGCTGAATTACGCTCGTTAAGCCCCCTAACAAACAAGGTATACGCTTCGCGTAGAATATTTGATTTATTCTCCAGAGCAGAGCTGTTTTTTAAGGAAGAGTGGGATTCTAATGCAGGCGAAAGTCATTTTTGTTAATGTCTTCTATGTTGATACTCCTTGTCACGGAATAGTAGCAAAAAATTGTTATTTTTATGTGAATGTACGCATATCCTTCTATTCTATCGGGTGCTGGCCTGTGTCCGTGGGGCTGTGTGTGTGTGCCGGCTGTGCCCATTGGGCCGTGTGCCGGCTGGCAGGTACCGGCTGTGCCCGTGGGGCTGTGTGTGTACAGGCTGTGTCCGCTGGAACTGTGTGTGTACCGGCTGTGTCCGCTGGGACTGTGTGTGTACCGGCTGTGTCCGCTGGGACTGTGTGTGTACCGGCTGTGTCCGTGGGGCTGTGTGTGTACCGGCTGTGTCCGTGGGGCTGTGTGTGTACCGGCTGTGTCCGTTGGAACTGTGTTAGTTTAGTGCCGGCTGACGGGTACCGGCCGGCCGGCAGCTGCGGCGGCCCGGCGCAGCGCGAGACGGACACGATGGACACGTTCGTGGACTCGTCCTGGTACTACCTGCGCTTCCTGGACGCGCGCTACGAGCGGGCGCCGTTCCGGCCGCAGCAGGTCAACCGCCACCTGCCCGTCGATATCTACGTCGGAGGCAAGGAGCACGGTGAGCACAGCGCCGGCTGGCGACCAGTGACCGCTGAGTACAGCTGACCACTGACTACTGAGTACTGAGTACTGAGTACTGACTACTGACCACTGAGTACTGAGTACTGACCACTGAGTACTGACCACTGAGTACTGAGTACTGGCTACTGAGTACTGAGTACTGAGTACTGACCACTGACCACTGAGTACTGACCGGCGACCACTGAGTACCGACCACTGAGTACTGACCACTGAGTACTGAGTACTGACCACTGACTACTGACCGCTAACTACCGTGTACTGAGTACTGGCCGCTGACTACTGAGTACTGGCTGCTGAGAACTGACCACTGACCACCATCAACTACTGAGCACTCATCACCGACCACCGGTAATCGGCTGCCTGCGATCGGTGCTGGACCGGCCTGTCGTATCGCTGCGTAAGCTGTGTCGTATTCTGACATATATTTCTGTCATATTATTACCGCTGTCTACCATATTCTGCCTTGTGTGTATGTGTGCTATATTCTGACCGTACGTCTGTCATATTCTGACGATACATTTGTCATGCTCTGACCGTGTGTGTTATATTATGACCGTGTTTCTGTTTCAGTCTGACCGTATTTATGTCGCACTATGACTGTGTGTGTGTGTCTGAACTGTGACCGGGTTTCCGTCACTGTCTGACCGTCCGTGCTCACTGTCCCGGACAGCCGTGCTCCACCTGTATTACGCCCGGTTCATGCACCACTTTCTGCGCGCCGAGGGACTGGTGGCCGCCGAGGAGCCGTTCGCGCGCCTGCTGGTCCAGGGCCAGGTGATGGGACAGAGCTACCAGGTGACGGAGACGGGACGCTACCTGCCGGCCGACCAGGTCACCACCACAGGTCAGAGACAACACGGGTCACCACCACAGGTCAGAGACGACACAGGTCAGAGACGACACAGGTCAGAGACGACACAGGTCAGAGACGACACAGGTCAGAGACAACACAGGTCACCACCACAGGTCAGAGACGACACAGGTTACCACCACAGGTCAGAGGCCGACCAGGTCATCACCGCAGGTTGTGCTAAATTCAAAATCAGCTACAAAAACTGCCCTAGAAACATGTAAATTGTGGAACTAAAAAATGTGAACCAGGGTCATCTAAAGTTAATGATCTTGACGTGACCCTCCCGGGTCCTTGACACTAACAGTAAATATGCAAGGAACTAACATCTTTTGACATTTTGGAACGTTAACAACCACAAAAAAACACTGGAAACGCGCGGATAATGTGAGCTTACATACGTTTAATCGTAGTTCGGGCCAAACATGGTCTAGAGAGACAGGTTACAGGTCAAAAAATATTAGGGTCAGGGTCATTAAATTTTCAGGGTAGGTGTGAAATTGATAATTCGAGGGTACCGAAAGTTTCGTCGCGATCTGCCTTTTTTGCGCGAGTTATCCGCCAAAAACCGACAGGAGATCCGTCCGACCCCCCCCCCCCCTCCCCCTCTTATAACTGCTGGGTTAAAGTTTCGATAACATTGTTTATACTGCAATTAAGACATTTTATCAAGCTCAGATTGAGTTTGGAAACTGTTAAACATTTGTTGTTTTAATGGGGATAAATAAAACAAGACTTGCATTGAATGCGGCGTGTTACGTTCTAGGAGAGTGCTTAGCCCGGTCCCGACGTGTATGTGTGCGTGTTTGGTGTGTGTTTGGTGTCCGAGCCGGGCTAACCGCTGCCCCCCTCTGGCGTCGGGCAGACTCTGGCGATGTGGTCTGTGCCGAGGACGGCCGGCCGGTCACCGTGCAGTGGGAGAAGATGTCCAAGTCCAAGCACAACGGCGTTGACCCGGCCGGGGTGATGGACCAGCTGGGCGCGGACACCATGCGGCTGCTGATGCTGGCCACCGTGGCTCCCACCTCGTCCCGGCGCTGGTCACAGGACAGTGAGTGGCTCTACACGTTATATAGACGTTATGTAGTGGCCACCGTGGCGCCCACCTCGTCCCGGCGCTGGTCACAGGACAGTGAGTGGCTCTACACGTTATATAGACGTTATACAGTGGCCACCGTGGCGCCCACCTCGTCCCGGCGCTGGTCACAGGACAGTGAGTGGCTCTACACGTTATATAGACGATATATAGTGGTTATTTATCATTTTTAGTGGCTTGATAGTGGCTATTTAACAAAATTTATCAATTTGAGTGTGGAAATGATATTCAAATGAAAATCGTTTTTCACTCTCACCTCCAGTTTTTAAGATCAGTTTTCACATCTAATTTTACTGAGAAAAAATATGAGTGGATGGTCATTTTGTATTATACATTCTGCCACACATTCATAGAACATTATGCCATTGATCTACCTTTATGGTTCCTTTATACTTTATGCCATTGATTCCAAAATGCAGTTTTGGGACACTGCTGTGGCCCGCCGGCACTCAGGGCCAGTGTTACCGGCGGCGCGCGGCCCCCGGGCCCGTGCGATGCCTCTGAGATGGCTGTGTGTGTGTGCGGCAGCGTTCCCGCCGCTGCTGGCCTGGCAGCGCCGGCTCTGGCTGACGGTCGGAGAGCTGGTGCGGCCGGCCGCCGGCGCCGGCGCGCCCTCCGCCGCCGAACTGGCGCGACACGAGGCACAAATGAGGGAGGAGCGAAACTACTTCGTGCGCACCGTGACGCACAACTTCCAGGAGACGCACCAGCTGAGCGTGGCCATCTCGCGCCTGCAGGGACTCACCACCGCGCTGCGGGTGGGTGCTGGGCCGCTCCGGGAGCCCGGGGCGCCGGGGGCCGTGTTCCGCGGGGCAGGGAGCTGTATTCTGTGGTGGCCGAATTCTGCGGGCAGTTGGGCCGGCGGTGATGGAGGAATGAGTGCTGTCCTGTCAACGAAACAGTATGAATTCACGTGGAGTTGGTGGTGTTCTTTTGTAAGTACTGTCAAGTGCAGCGTGTCTGCTCGCCTTTCCGTGGGAGGTCGCGATTGCGTTGCCTACCTTGCACAGTATCACACGTTTCTCCCATAGGCGGCGGAACGGGGTGGGCACCGGGGCACCGTGCCCCCCTTTTATTTGCCTCCCCCTTAATTGAAGGCGTTCCGCCGCTACTGGTTTCTCCCACTTGGTTCCCGATATTGTTACGCCTGCGGATGTGCTTGTTGGTGATGCATGTCTGACTCTGGTCTACTCGTGTCCCCTGGTCTGCCCGTGTCCCCCCGCCTGGTACCGCGGGTCCGCGCGCTGTCTGCCTGTCTGCCTGTCTGACTGTGGTCTGCCCGTGTCCTCTTGTCTACCCTTGTCCCCACGGCGTGGACCGGGCACTGACTGTGGTACGTCTGACTGTGGTCTGCCCGTGTCCCCCGCTCTGCGCAGCGCCGGCCGGCCTGGTACCGGGCGCTGACTGTGGTACGTCTGACTGTGGTCTGCCCGTGTCTCCTGGTCTACTACCCGTGTCCCCCCCCCCCCCCCCCGCCTGGTACCGCGCGCTGACTGTGGTACGTCTGACTGTGGTCTGCCCGTGCCCCCCGCTCTGCGCAGCGCCGGCCGGCCTGGTACCGGGCGCTGGGCGGCGAGTACCAGCGCGCGCTGGGCGACCTCATCATCATGTGCTCGCCGGTGATGCCGTGTCTGTGTGCCGAGATGTGGGCCGGCTTCTGCGCGGCCAGTCGCCACGGCCACCCGGAGCACCGCCTGGTGAGTGGCGGCCGGCCGGCGGCGGCGGGCGCGCGCCCGGGCACTGGGGACGGAGCAGTGCCGGGGAACGGTCCCTGTGGACAGAGGACCGCGGATCACAGGCGATCGGTGACTGATTTCCAGTGTGTGGATTTCGAAAGGGTTTGATGGCAATGTTGTGTGTGTGGGGGGGGGGAGGGGCGCCGTAGTTAGCTGTGATTCTGTCTGTTACTGAGCCATGTCTATGGTGCTGTAGTGGTGTGCTGTGCCTGTGTCAGTGGAAGTATTATGTGTCTGTAATAGTGTCTGTGCCTCTGGCAGTGTGCTGTGTCTGGTGGTGTGCTGTTGTTCGTCTGTTATAGTGTGCTGTGTTTGTGCCTGTGCCAGTGTGCTGTGTCTGTGATAGTGTGCTGTGTTTGTGTCTGTGCCATTGATACAGATACAGATGTATTCAGAAGAAATCCATACAATATGGCTTTTCATTCTTCTACGTCAGTTACAATGCGGACACAATGAGGACACATTTACACTAAACACACAAACCCATCATACATACACCAACTGATCACAGCGCGCCAGCCGATCCCACGAGCCGCCTGACAGTACGGCGGAACCCAGGCTCGCCGGGAACAGCCTGCACACTGTTCAGTAACCTCACTCCCCGAAAACACATTCTCCTCCTTGCAGCTTCGGTACGAATGTTGGGGCATGTGATTAGCCCCGACTGTCGTGTTGCATGGGCATTAGGGGTACCCATTTTTGGGTCAATTTTTCAAATTTTAGGTGGGGGTGGATTTTCCCATTATTTGGTTTATTCTGATTCCATCTGTGCCAAAAATAGCGAAATCAAACGATTTCTAGGGGTCGCGAATTCAAAATGAAAATGCCAGTTTTAGCGAAAAATCGACCAAATTAATGCTATTTTATTTTGGAACAAGGTTACCATGCTAACAGGTGGGAGTCAATTTTCCCATTATTTGGTCCATTCTGATTCCATCTGTGCCAAAAATAACGAAACCAAACTATTTCTAGAGGTCACGTATTCAAAATGAAAAGGTCAATTTTAGCGGAAAATCGACCAAATTAACATTATTTTATGTTGGGACAAAGTTACCATGCCAACGGTTTGGGGTCGATTTTATCATTATTTGCTTCGTTCTGGATCTAGCAGTGACAGAAATAACGATATCAGACCACTTTTAGGAATCGCGAGCTTGCATTGGAAGCTTTAATTTTACTTGGAAAAATGACTTCATATGAATGGATATAAATGCGCAAAGCCTGAATGTGTTGCAGTGGTATTAATGACTGTTGGACACCGTGCAACATTGCTTTAGTTGTAGGTATATTCGACGTGCAGCGGTAAAAGAAAGCACCAAAATATCATTTTGGTCAATGAACAGGCTCATTTACACTCACTGTGGCTTAGACCGTCATTAGTACCTACATATACACAAGACCGTAACTCTTAGAACGACTGGCTATGTAGTCGGAGGGCTCAAATCAGTGATCGAAGCTTTCTCATTAGGACCATTTAGTTTTCAATGAGTCGTCTTATTCAGCAAAAGAAATGACTGAACCCCAGGACGTAAACAATGAATATTGACACAATCTGGGTGGGAGGGGCATTAAGCCGTTACGGATGTGACGATATAACTCGTATGTCGTATTGTAACGGAAATATGGCATAAAGTAGATAAATAAGTTGTTAATGGCCTATTTATATCTTTAACGAGATGAAAACAGCACTGAAGCTATGCCGGTATGCATGACCTTTGCCAATTTGATAGCCGACCTCCTCTATAGTCCCGGAGTTGCAGACACGGCTGAGGGAGGGGCGCAAGCTTTACACCACCGCGCCGTTGGGTGACTGCTGTATGAGTGTAGCTTTGCCCCTCTCCCACAAACACCCACACCCACATACAGATTTTTGTTTAGACTGTTGACATATTGTTGACTTGAGACGGGTGCAGATATCATGTCATGGAACTAGTGCCTGGTGATGGCCGCTGCCAGCAGCATCCTTGCAAGATAACGGACCTTACGCTGCACTCTACAGGCCCAGTCCAAACCCTCAGATGGTGCTGAACTGAAGTCGAATGGCATTGCCTAAAGCTGGAAATTAGGAAGGTGCCAAGTCTAAACGACTCAGCCAACTCCGAGGCAGATCCGTTTACTGACTCCTGGCATTGCCTGGGGGCCGACACATTGGGTGGGCCATGGACCTTAGGTGGCGGACCTAGTTCTCGTCTTCAGCCTCTGCACGCACACTCTTTTATATGACGCCGCGTCCTGGTTACCACCATATACGGCCCATGCAGGATGAAAATCTTCTGCTTCATTAGGTTCTTCAGATTCAGACGCCAAATACCTCAGATCACAAGTGATCTGTGCAAGGAGCTGTGAAAGGTCTTCGTCACTTATCAGCTATGCACGTATCAGCGCATGGCTAGTCGCCCGTGGTCGAAAATGCAAAGTCGTAAATGATGTGCAATGTGCATTGTATCGGAAACTCTTACACTTAAGACGTGTACTCGTATCTGTCCCCACTGAAGAAATGGAATAGTAGGTACATGGTTGGTAGGCATGGAAAGAATCGACGCTTTGGAGTTTATGTTTTTGGATTAGAAGTTGATATTTTTGGGTAGAACACCCAGATTTATTCTACCTTGTCTCATACGTGTATTACATCGTAGCCGTCAGCGACAGTAGCGGTGGAACACCTTCAATTAAGGGGGACACTGCCGACTTTTGGTCCCATTCTTTCCATGCAACGCCCCTAGGGCTAATGTTAAAATGCCAAAATCAAAGGGGGGCACGGTGCCCTCCCCGTTCCGCCGCCTGTGGTCAGCGATCAGGACGGCGTGTCTTGTGGAAGTATACGGTCAAAATGGTTTGATCGTTTTTGAATTACATGGTTTGAAGTCCATTCGGAGCCATAACCTGTGAGATGTATCCTGAGCTAATTTGCGGAAACTTTAATTGTATGGACACAAAAAGACTGTCATGAACTGAGATGTGGCAACTGAAACGTCATATTTAAGTTTGACCTCACAGGTCATCAAAGGTCACCAATACCAAAGGTCACCAAAGGTCACATGAAGGCAGAAGATATCAAAAATGATTACACGCCGACCAGAATGATACCAACAACAGGAGCAAAACATCACGGCGCTTTTCACCAAATGTTGCAATATCGACTTGTATTGATCGCTAGTAAGGCGATCACGTGATCCGGAAAAAGTGATCCGGAACCACGTGATGGAGCACATCGATCTGGATGAAAAAGGAGCGCTCAATGACCCCTCTACCCGACTTTCGAAACAAAAAGTTTGCCTTTGGTGCGATTTACTATCAGCGTAAAATATGCATATTTCTAGGTAAATACGCAAACTTCAATCTCAATTCGCGACCCCTAAACCACCTTTGATTTCAATATTTTTGGCATCATTGAAATCAGGAGCCGCGAAATAATGGGAAAAACCACCCCCACCCTCAAATTTCCAAAATCGGGAAAAATGGGTACCCCTAATGGGCATGCCTTTGGTCCGCTCTCGGTCCAATGGTGTTGTACAGGTACTCAGGCTGTCCCGTCTCAATTATACGCGCTAGCGCACACACAGTGTGGTAGGCAGCAAGCTGCTCTGCGTTCAGCCAGCGGAGCTCCTGCAGCGCCCCGCTGACATGGTCAAAGCGTCGTTTGCCCGTCACGACGCGAACACAAAAGTGAACAACTTTCTGAATCCGGCCGAGCTGGGTCACACCACATGTGCCGTACACGGACAGGCAATATCGCACCACTGACATCGCCAGCGCCTCCACAATCACCTTCAATGTCTGTTTCGGTAGCACGTGACGCGCGTGTGACAGCCCTATCAGAATACCCGTAGGGGAGAGTGGGGCACATTCGTGCAAAAAATGGATAAACCCAAATATCTGTTCTTTGGTTAGTGCAATGGCAAAATTGTTTATTGTAGTATGGAAAGGAACTATTGCAGATAGTTTTCCCCTTTAAAAGTTATCCTATAAAATTATTGCTTCCATTAGAAAAAATGACTTTTATTAACTCTGAACATTTGCACGAAACTGCCCCACCTATGGGGCACATTCGTTCAAGAGATGGGGCACTTCCGTTCACCCGGCAAAATTCGAGAAATTACCGGGCATTACCAGAAATTTACCAAAGGAAATTGGCAGGGGGTCATTTCACTTGATTCCTTTCGACAAGAATGCATTGCACAACAAATGTAGAAAGAATGGGCTGGCCAACAAGAATGTGCCAACTGCCGGCCTCCGTGACCTCGCCAAGTTCGCGTGAATTGCTCGTCACGACGTCGCAAGCAGTCGAGACTGAGTCAGGCGAGCGTCATTAGAGAAACCTACTACAGATAAAGTCATAAATCGCAAAAACTAAAAAAAAAAATATGCACGAATGTGCCCCCAGGCAGTGCGTACACGAACCTGCCCCACAACGTTATTAGTAATATATTTTAAATTTTCTTTTTGAAAAAATGACACTTTTTCAACAAACAAGTTTGCAGCAGTTTCGTGAATAGAGTGGGCTTCTTCACCCCCAATTTTGAAAAGCTGAACCACATTTCCGAGTCAGGATCACGAAAATGGATGATATGAGAAAAGTTTGGAAAGCTCACGAATATTACAAATTTGCGTTTTTATCAAGCATGACAGCAGGTACAGTGTTGTCTTCTACGGTGAACGAAGGGCGGCAATGATAGACATATTTCCATAATTTACCTTGAGCTCGTGCAGTCACTCGTGTTCCCATAAACTGCTGAAAACGAATGTGCCCCATGCGCGAATGTGCCCCACTCTCCCCTACATTTCCGTGAGATGTATGTCACGTGAGCTTCAAAATTGAGGTGACGGTCAATGTACACACCGAGGTTCTTGACCTCTGTCGAGTCGGTAATCATGTCCCCGCAAAAACGGACAATGACAGGCGGCAGTGTTCGGAGCATTGCAGGCGTTCCTAGCACGATCATCTGTGTCTTTTTAGTGTTCAGTTTCATGCCGTTGTGGCAAAACCAGTCATACACATGACACAGTGCGTCCTCCATGCTACCGATAAGCCTCTGGATTGGGATATCGCATTTACGGCCGGACACTAGGAGCTGCGTATCATCGGCGTACTGCACTATTGTGACGTCACTGGGCAGCCTCAGGCTCAAATCATTTGCAAAAAGCATATAGAGGATACAGCTGAGCGCTCCTCCCTGGAATACTCCTATGCTGTTCATTCGAGTGCGAGACAATAAATGACGCCCTCCGGTCCACTGCACGCGGACCTGCTGCGTGTGACTGTGGCCGGACAGATAGCTACGAAACCACTCAGTGTCGATTCCGTAGAGGGCAAGCTTATTCAGCAGCTTAGCATGTGACACCACATCAAACCACATGTGACACCACATTGTGCTGTGTCTGTGTTAGTGTGCTGTGTTGTGTCTGTGATAGTGTGTTGTGTCTGTGTCTGTGATAGTGTGCTGTGTTATGCTTGTGTCTGTGATAGTGTGCTGTGTCTGTGCCTGTGCCAGTGTGCTGTGTCTGTGATAGTGTGTTGTGTCTGTGCCAGTGCTGGTGTGTTGTGTCTGTGATAGTGTGCTGTGTCTGTGCCAGTGCTAGTGTGCTGTGCCTGTGATAGTGTACTGACGGCCGCCCGTCCTCAGGACCTGACTGTGATGCAGCAGCGCTGGCCGGCGGTGGACGCCGACGCCCTCCTGGAGCTCGTTGTCGAGGTAGGCTGGCCGCGCCGGCCCCGACTGCGCTCTGGGTCCTCGCGCGGTGTCCGAGGACCCCACCTCACACCTGTCCGGCTGCGGCCGGACTCGCTCCTGCCACTAGCGAAATTATCCGCGCAGTCACTGATAGTTTTAGCCATATTGTGTGGTTCAATTTCATACACATGGTTATGTCACCAGTGGGACGTTTTTTCGGGTGACAGGCGAGCGAGCGAGAGAGTAAGCCCTGCTCGTGCGGAAGTGCGAGGGATACACTGACTTGTGCACGGCGCCCTACTAACCTGTCTATGGCAATGTGCCAAATTTGGGCGCAATCGGCCAAGCCGCTCTTGAGATATAGAAGCGGCTCCCTGCACGTGCGCACGTGCAAACTGGGTCCCATCTGACTAATACACGGCACCCTGCTCCCCGGTCCCAAAATGTGTACCAAGTTTCAGCGCAATCGGCCCATGTTGTGTTATTGCAATTGTTTCAAAACTGACCTCTTCGTTTTGCACGTGGCACGTGCATTGGGGGTCATCCACACCTAGGTATCTTGAATAGTCCAATGCATTTTGGTAGGAGGGATGAAGCTACCTTGCACAAAATATCGTGTGAATCGGTCCAGTGGGTGCGGATATTTGAGCCTCGTAAAAGGAAATCTGAAATAATTATATCCTCGCTTCGATGTCAGTGACTTAAAGTTCAAACAGCCACAAAAAAAGAGAGTTCTTAAAGGGACTATCCCACCTTTAACATGGGGTTTGAGTTGAGATAGCCAAGTTTGCGGCGAGGTTCAGAAACCACTATCTATCTATCTAGGTTGCAACCCCCGCGGCCTCTTGGTGTTGAAGAAATTCGTTCCCTTCATTTGAACATGGGCCTTGCGCAAGGCCCTATCTTCAACATGGAGCGACCGTTAGTGTGACGTCACCTCGTTTAGTCATTCTGATTTAAATGGGTTTGTTCGTTGAAAAATCGCTTAAAACTTTGTCTGAACTTTGTTGTGGTGCCTACAGAGTAAAAAGAATCAGCTTTATGACAGTAATGTGGCCTGGGGAAGGAGGTAATTTTGGGCTGTGACGTCACATATTTGAAAGTTTGTGTTTGGAATATGGGAAGCCTAAGATGTTTAATGAAAAATAAATGCCAGAACCGTGTTCCTGGTCATCCAATCTATAAAGTCGGGCACAATTTAACTGGTTTTAACAACATTTTAGAAGGTGGGATAGTTCCTTTAAGATAGGGAAATTAAAAACATGTCTTTGAAAATATGAGGTGAAAAGTGATGACCTAAGGTCAGGTCACCAGATCAAGTCAAGGTCACAAACTCAAATGTTGTCAACGGCTGCGCTTTTGATCCCACATAAAAACCGAGACATATGTGACAAAAAGTCATGGTCTATCAGCCCTGAAAGCTGAAATGAGTTCAGGTCACTTCAAGTCAGGTCATGTCAGGGGAGCTAAAAAGACAGCTAGCCGTCTGTCTGTCTGTCTGTCTGTCTGTGTCTGTGTCTGTATCTGTGTCTGTCTGTCTGTCTCTGTCTGTCTGTCTGTCTCTGTCCCTGTCTCTGACTCTGTCTCTGACTCTGACTCTGACTGCGTCCCCGGGTGTCGGCCGGCAGCTGAACGGGCAGCAGGCGGCCACTGTGTGCCTGCCGCGCCGCCAGCTGGACGCGCTCACCGAACCGGAGGCGCTGCGGCTGGCGCGCGCCCAGCCGGCCCTGGCGCGCCACGCGGCCGGCGCGGCGGCGGCCGGCCAGCTGCTGCTGCAGCCCGGCCTGGGCGCCCTGCTGCGCCTCAGCACAGAGCACCGCCGGCCGCCGGACGACGACGACCCCGCGCGGCGCGAGGTACTCCGCCAGAGACAGGAGAGGAAGGCGGCCAAAAAGGAGCGGCGCCAGCAGAGGCGGCTCAGAAAGGCAGAGCGCGAGGAACGGTGAGGCGCGGCGGCGCCACTGCCGCCGCGGCAGTGGCAGTGTGGACCCGGCAAACCCTGTGAGACGTCCGTGTGACTGTGAGACTGTGGAAGACGGCTCCGGTGGCCGGCTGTGAGCTGAATACAGTGTGTGACCAGCTGCCGCCTGTGACCGCTGACCGAGCACAGCCGCTGTGCGGCGCGCCGCTCCCAGCGGCTGATGGTGGGGCTGCGCCGAGCCAACTGAGGAGTTCGCCGCGCCGAGCCAACTGAGGAGTTCGCCGCGCCGCGGCAACTAAGGAGTCCCTGGTCTGGTCCGCAGGGTGGTATCCGGCTCACTCCCCGCGGCAGCACATACACAACGGTCCACAGTCAATGCATACCTGTATTATAACAATGACACATTCCTCGGCTGTCCTGCAGTATATACCGTGTGCATACAGTGCTACACTGTACATTCAGCGTACATACAGTGTCTCACTGTACATTCAATGCACATTCAGTGTACATACAGTGGCACATTGTATAGCTCTCGTCTTACTGCGTGGTGGGTTTTCTTTTTTTCGACAAAACCGCGGGTGGGTATCATAATAACCTCAGAGGCAATGGTATCAGTCGACTGGAACTCATAACGGGCAGACGCGCGATGCGCCACTCTTTCGGTTAGGCCTTTTACAAACCCGCGCCCGGCTGGGCCTCTCATCCAACTTCGCCATAGGGGGGGGGGGGCGCATTGGGTCACACCAGGTTATCGGAAAGTAAGAAAGCTAGAAAGACGCGAAAGAAAAACAATAGAAAGCTCGCTACAAGATCTTTAAGAATCATACAGATCATCTTTCGATCGGGTCTCGCTAAAGTCACTGCAGGTCACCAAAAGTAAAATTATCAAGAATTTTGGTTGCCGGTTTTGACAACTTTTCACAATCGGCGCATAACTCTAAACAAAAAGAGCTACAGCCAAGCGTTAAGGGTGCGTTAACTTCGGAGGTGGCTCCGCTCAGCGTTGGTGTCTGAGCACTACTACTCCGATTCTCAGCCAGTAGATGTCTGCGCATTCGTTAGCCTTTGAAGGCTCTTTCGGATTGTTCATGTCTCAGATTTGTTCTTAGCTCAACGGTTTAGCGTGCAGAGGGCAAAAACTCTTAAATGTAGCGTTTCCCTGTAAAAGTTTTTTTCTGTGATAACTTTTGACATCAACCCTGTATTAGTTTGATTTTACCAGCATCGTATTTCTTTCGTCTAGATGCGTCGAATGAAACTAAACCTGCATTGGCCTGAAAGGTCGACTAAAAAATTCGGCCCAAGTCAAGGTCACAGAAAAGATCATATTGCATATTAGTCTATTGGTATCGTTTAACTGTTTCTCCCGTGGCGTTTCATCGCTTTATCGTGTTTCTATCAATTAAGTTAATGTCATAAACTGCTGGATACTTTTCATGACCTGAGTGACCTCAGGGTCACAAAGGGGGCACGGGTGCATTTTTCAGATTCATTGTATCATGTTTACCTGTATCCCGATGTATCCCGATGAGTGTTTTTGTTCCAAAAAGAGCGTTCCAATTGTCTCCCATTGACTTATAATGGAGAGCTGCGCTGGCCTTGGGTTACCGATATAAAAATTCCGAGATGTACACATTTTTGGCACTGATTCCCTCATGTCATAACCCCGAGTTTTTAACTTCTGGATGTAAACTATAGGAATGACAGAATCACTAAGTTTTTTTAGACGCATGATCACTACTTTACCTGGTGACCTGACCTTATGTGAACTGGGGTGAAAAAATCAGCCATGATGCGAAATTGATGTGTCATGAGCTATTCCAAGTTTTTTTTTTATAGCTTCGAGCTATTCTCGGCTTTGTCGAAAAAAAAAACACGCAACACGCAGTGAGACGATACATATAATGTGCAATGTACAATGTACTGTACATCCTGTGTCCCAGTGCACATACATAATACATTGTACATCTAGCGTTACACTGTACATACGGTGACGAATGGGCTACTGTGCATACAGTCAGTGTATTTGCACACACTCCGCCGCGCCATTGTGCCACCGACGGTCAGACTGTCACTAGACAGACTGCCACTGGACAGACTGTCAGGGGGACAGACTGTCACCGGACAGACTGTCAGGAGACGGTGGCCGTCCGGGCGGCGGCGCCGCAGCGACTGTAGCGCGGGCATCGAATATCTGCCGTCGGCCACGGCACGGCACACACAGCGGACGGCACGGCACTCAGACACCGCTGGAGGGCACGGCGGCTCGGCACACAGACACGGCGGCTCGGCCAGCCCGGCCGGCGGCACATCGAAACACGCTAACAGAACACAGAGCGACGGACGAAGGCCTTGGCGAGCCCACACGGAGCACAGAGCGCGACTGTGAGCCCACACGGAGCACAGAGCGAGCACAGAGCGACTCCGCGAGCCCACACGGAGCACAGAGGGCGACTCCGCGAGCCCACACGGAGCACAGAGAGCGACTCCGCGAGCCCACACGGAGCACAGAGCGACTGTGAGTCCACACGGAGCACAGAGCGACTCTGCGAGTCCACACGGAGCACAGAGCGAGCACAGAGCGACTCCGCGAGCCCACACGGAGCACAGAGTGAGCACAGAGCGACTCCGCGAGCCCACACGGAGCACAGAGCGACTCCGCGAGCCCACACGGAGCACAGAGCGAGCACAGAGCGACTCCGCGAGCCCACACGGAGCACAGAGAGCGACTCTGCGAGGCACAGCGCGATAAGCAGCGGGCCAGTCTTCAGACACCCGGGTGCGGGTGTGAATTCGCTGCCCCGAGCAGCAGACACCCGGGTGCGGGTGTGAATTCGCTGCGGCACGGTCCGAGCCGACAGCTGTCTGTCCGGGAGGCGGTACGTCTGGGCAGCTGCCCGGACCAGGCGGCTGTCTGTCTGGGCAGCTGCCCGGACCAGGAGGCGGTACGTCTGGGCAGCTGCCCGGACCAGGCGGCTGTCTGCCCGGGCAGCTGTCCTCAGCAGGCGGCCGTCTGTCCGGGCAGCTGTCCTCAGCAGGCGGCTGTCTGTCCGGTTAGCTGTCTGCAGCTCGCCGCTGTCTGTCCGGGCGGCTGTCCTCAGCAGGCGGCTGTCTGCCCGGGCAGCTGTCTGCAGCTCGCCGCTGTCTGTCCGTGGCCGCTGTCCCGGTGTGTCGGCACGGAATACTGCGGAATACACGGAATACTATGTGCACCCACGGTGCAATGTCGACTAGTAGTGATTCCAGAGACTGGCATGGTGACTCTGCCTTCTTTCTCTCCCTCTCTCCCCCCTCTCCTAACTGTTTTCTATCAGGGCTGCGTTTCAGTCCGGGGTTCCAGCAGACTCCGTTTTCGGCCGGCGCTCTGTCTCGGCCAGGAGGGTCCTCGGCGGCAGCGGTGCGGCTCCGCTGGTGCGTCCCGCGTCCCCCTCTGCTCCTGCCGCCGCCGGGCGGCTCCTCTCTCTCTCTCTGTCTCTCGGCTGTCACTGGTCGGGCGGCGTTTCGGCCGTGCAGCCGGCCAGCTTCTCGCGTTTGGTGCACACCTCTCCCCGGCAGCAGGCGCCGGGGGGCCGCTCTCATATGGTCTCGGCCACCAACTGGCGCACGTTGTCCGGCAGGAAGCACTCGTGCAGGTACTGGTCCAGTGTGCGGTACAGGTGCTCGCGCACTCCGTCCAGCTGGTGGCCCTCGTCCGGGTACAGCTGCCGGTACACGGGGCGCAGTTTCAGTACGGGAGGTACATATTGACACACTACAGTACAATTACGGTACAGCTGCCGGTACATGAGGCGCAGCTTCAGTACGGGAGGTACATATTGGCACACGGGAGTACAGCTACGGTACATTGATACACGCGAGTACAGTTTGGTATATTGGTACACGGAAATACAATTACGACACATTACTAAACGGGAGTAAGAAGCACCCCTGACGGTAAAGAAGGGGTGACGGTAAAACCCCGGACGGTAAAACCCCCTCCCTAGCCGTCTCGCTCCAAATTGGCTGGAACCTTACGGAAAAGGCAAAAATGTGCGTCGTTACGAGACACAGCGACTGGTATCTGATTTTCAGGTTTTAGGCCAACCGGTGACCCCTGTGGTCCGGTCAAGTTTCCCAGGGTAGGGGTTTGGTTTTGCTAACTAACTTCGCCACAAATAGTGGCAGAGCCACCGTGCTCGTGCCCGGGAACGTCGAATGATATCGGTACGTTTTGTTTGGGTTAGGTCACTAGGATGTTGACCTCAGGTCAAGGTCAGGTCAAAGCCATTGACACTCGGGTCACAAAGCTGTTAGGAGGATGTCACGCGGCATATCATTCGATGTGGCAGCTCTTTCTGAGTCAACTGATGGCTGAACCGACTCGATAGCTGATGACTTGTTTATCTGATGATGACGTTCATGAACGTTCAAGAATTGTTCGTGAACATGAGATCTTGAATGAATGAATTCGTAAATTATCAAATAAACAAACGTCGTTCAACCCAGCTTTAAAGTTCGGAACTTTTTTCGGCCCATCCGGTAAAGCAGCCACACGAGATGAAACGTAGGGCCTGAGAATTAGGAAATGACAAAACAGCGAAGCACAAAACAAAAAATGGCATTTGTGTCTGATGCACTGTAAGATGGCCGGCAGCACTGAACAATATCGGTCGCTGCCCCTGTGGCCGGGGTCGCTGTGTCGCCCAACAATATCACATGGCTCCTATGTGTATTGGCTCAGCAGTATAAGAGGATGGTGGGCACCCGAGATCGAGAGGGCGGATATAACGGCCGGGACCGGAGAGGGAGTTGGAGAGCGGACGACGCTCACTGGCGGTCACTCTGGTCAGTGAGAGCGGACGACGGACACTGATCAGTGTGAGCGGACGACGCTCACTGGCGGTCACTCTGGTCAGTGAGAGCGGACGACCGAAACTGGCGGTCACTCTGGTCAGTGAGAGCGGACGACGGACACTGATCAGTGTGAGCGGACGACGGTTAATGGCGGTCACTGGTAGGTCAGTGAGCGGACGACGGTTAACCCTCGCCCCGTTGGGGGGGGCCATTTTGCCCCCCCTGTGGTTTTTCCTGAATAGCAAGAAAACGGCGGCGCGCAGCGCCGCCAAATTTTTAGTACCTTTCCGGGCATCAATTTGACACCTTCACACCAAATTTCAAGTCTTAGGTCACCTTAGGTCAGGAGTTATTGAGGTCAAACTGAGGTCATGTTCGAGCAAAAATGAGCAAAAAACATGCAATCTTGAAACGCTCACCAAATCTACAGTTATCAAGCAATTTCAAAGTTCTTTATATGGTCTAATAGACAAAAAGCGGCGCTACAAAACTGCTATCTCGGATTTTCAAAATTTTGGTTTTTTGACCCAAAAAAATTCAAAAAATTGATTTTTTTTAGAGAAACTAAAAAAAAAAATCCAAAATTTTTCCGAATTTCGAAAAAACCGGAATATATGTGATAGTCCCTGCGCTCTTCTATATACATAAAAAATTTCAGATCGATATCTCGTTTTTTTGGCCAAGTTATAGCGAAAAAACTGTTCAAAAATTATGACGTCAAATTTTTGAACTCAATTTTTAGCGATTTTAGACCTCGTACGGCAAAACAAAGACCACCATTGAACTCCTCGTGACGAGCTGCATCGATTCGATACCCATTTTATGCAAAAATATCAACTTTGAAATTTGACCTAATTTGACCTGACCTTGACCTGACCTTGACCTGACCTTGACCTGACCTTGACCAAAACGTGACCTAAGCTGGCCCCAAAGGCTGCCTGACCCACATAATCGCATTTGTCATGTAAAATGGACCATAAAACATGTATCACACGACACTTTCATATTGTGACCCCCCAGTGACCTGACCTCAGTGACCTGACCTGGTATCAGTGACCTCAACTAGCAGAATATGTGTTTGAAGAACATTTCCCCATCGATGATTTTCAATGAAATGCATTTTACTCGATTTTACAACGCATTTCTTGAAATGCCTGTAAACGGTGAAAATTGGACCTTTGACCTGACCTGTGACGTCATCGGTTTGACCTAGGTCAATAAAGTTGGGTCACAAGGTAGTTCCCTGATAGGGCTATCCAACACCGTTTGCCGCTTGTCGCTATGTTGCGTGGTTCTCGAGATCTTAGGGGGGGGGGCCAAAATGCCCCCCCCCCCCCAACGGGGCGCGTTGCTCGGCAGAGCCCAACGGGGCGCGGGTTAATGGCGGTCACTGGTAGGTCAGTGAACGGACGACGGTTAATGGCGGTCACTGGTAGGTCAGTGAGCGGACGACGGTCACTGGTTGGTCAGTGAGCGGACGACGGTCACTGGCGGTCACTGGTGGTCAGTGAGGGGATGACCGTCACTGGTGGTCACTGATCAGTATGAGGGACGACGGTCACTGGCGGTCACTCTGGTCAGTGAGAGCGGACGACGGTCACTCTGGTCAGTGTGAGCGGACGACGGTCATGGTCGGTCAGTGAGCGGACGACGGTCACTGGTCGGTCAGTGAGAGGGGACGACGGTCACTGGGGCCGGAGGAGACGCAGAACGAGACCGGAGGAGGGAGAGGGAGAGAGAGAGAGAGGGAGAGAGAAGAGAGGGGGAGCGAGGCACTGACCATCTGTGAGAAGAGTGCGCCGGCGCGCTGCAGCCGCCGTGCCAGCAGCAGGGTGTGCTGTACGCTGACGCTGGTGTCGGCCGTGCCGTGCACCAGCAGCAGCCGGCGGCCCACCAGACCGGCGCCGCCCACCGCCGACTCCGAGTAGCCGCGCTGGTTGGTGTGCGGGTCGCCCAGCCGGCGCTCACTGGCCGCAGACGCTGCCGAGCAGGCCGAGGGGCGTCAGTCGGGGCGGGCAGTGGTTGCCCCGTTGGGACAGTCCGCCCGCCTCCCAACGGTCACTCTGGAGATGAATTACGGGTTCCGGTGGGGACCTGCCCCCATCCACCGGTTGTCAGGTTGTGTGGTGGCCGCCAGCCCGGAGAGAGAGCGTGAGGGAGGACGCGGATGGGTTAGTCCTGAGGATGACGAGGACGGGTGTCGGTGGTAGCTTCCAGGTCCCAGTGAGCTCTCAGTGGCAGCGGACTCTCCGCAGAGTCCCCCAGTGGACTCACCGCAGAGCCCCCAGCGGACTCTCCGCAGAGCCCCCAGCGGACTCACCGCAGAACCCCCAGTGGACTCACCGCAGAGCCCCCAGCGGACTCACCGTAGAGTTCCCAGCGGACTCACCGTAGAGTTCCCAGCGGACTCTCCGCAAAACCCCCAGTGGACTCTCCGCAGGGCCCCCAGCGGACTCGCCGTAGAACCCCCAGTGGACTCACCGCAGAACCCCCAGCGGACTCACCGTAGAACCCCCAGTGGACTCTCCGCAGGGCCCCCAGCGGACTCACCGTAGAGTTCCCAGTTGGCGATAGGCGCCACGGCCACGGCGCAGCGCAGCTGTTGGCCCGGCGCGGCGCTGGCCAGCAGCGAGGCCGCCAGGTAGCCGCCGTATTGCCAGCCGGCCACCAGCACGCGGCTGGCGCTCACGAAGCTCAGTTTCTCGGTCAGTTGGGAGACCACCAGCCGGAGAGCGGCCGTCTCGGCGGCGCCCACCGGCACCTCCGCGCCGGCCGCGGCCGGCACCTCGACCGTGGCCACCACGAAGCTCTGCTGGGAGGCCAGGTAGGCGGGCCAGTCGACGCGCCAGCGCCGGTCGGCGGCCGCGCCGGGCGCCAGCCACAGCAGCAGCGGGTAGGCCGCCTGGTCGCCGTCGCGGTACTGCGGCGGCACCAGGAGTCGGACGGTGGCGGCGCGGCCGGCCGGCAGCGGCACGGCCAGCAGCCGGACGGCCGGCGCCGCCAGGCCGGCGGCCGCCGCGCGCAGCGCCGTGCTGTTGCGCAGGCTGACGGCGCCGGCCGGCGCAGCCAGCGTCAGCCGCGGCACGTCGGGGCCGACGCAGCGCAGCGCGTACCGGCCGCCGGCCGCCACCAGCGCCTCGTGCTGCAGGCAGCGCGGGCCCGGCGCGCCCTCGGCCGCCGGACACGTCAGGCAGTGGACGGTGCGCCGCAGCGGCGAGCGGTGCTCCGAGAGCCGGTACAGGTGCCGCTCTCCCGGCCAGCCCTCCACGGCCGACAGGTAGTAGCTGCGGCACGCCGGCGCCGCCGTCAGCTCCACACACACACACACACATATACAATGGCCAGAACAGATGGATGATGCTAAAAAAACGGCGCCGCTCTGCCCCGCTGTTTTACGGACTCTTGAAAAAGCCGGAAGGCGGAAGGCGCGTTAGCCCGCGCCCTGGTGGGGTCTGTTTATAACGCGACCTGGTGGGGGGGGGGGGCTATTTTTTGCCCCCCTCGTATCTCCGAAACTACTGGACGGATCCGCAATATTCAAACGGCGTTCGAAAGGCCTGTCAAATTTGTCTAGGGAAACCAAATTTCATTGACCTCGGGGTCACCGATGACGTCACAGGTCAGGTCAAAGATGAAATGTTTCACCGTTCACGGGTCTTCTAGGGAATGCGCCATAACACCGAGGAAAACGCATTTTGTCGAGAATCAGCGGTAGGGCGTCAGTTGCCTAGTAGATATGTTGCTATTAGAGGTCACTGGCAATACCAGGTCAGGTCACAGGTCAGGTCACCAAGGGTCACAGGTCAGGTCACATGAGCCCAACTTTACTAAGGTTGTGTGATACATGTTTTATGGCCAATTTTTCATTTCCAGCAAAATGGTGTTGGTTATAAGACTATCAGGTACGGCTTAGGTCACTTTCTGGTGAAGTTCAGGTCAAGGTCAGGTCAAGGTCAGGCCAAAAAAGGTCAAATTTTAAAGTTGATAGTTTTGCATAAAATGGGTATTGATTCGATGCAGCTCGTCACGGGGAGTCTAATGGTGGTCTTTGTTTTGCGCTACGGGGTCTAGAATTGCTAAAAATTGAGTTTGAAAATTTGACGTCATCAATTTTGAACAGTTTTTTTCGCTATAACTTCGCCAAAAAAAAGAGGTATCAATCACAAATTTGGTATGTGGATTAGTGATGTCAATTACGGAAAATCGGCATACCGATACGAAACCAATTACCAACCAAAACCGTGGAGAAATACCGAAACCAAACCAACTTGGGAACATGAGGAAAATACCAACTTTTTACCGATTCCTTAGCCTCTTAAACATTACCGAGGGTTCATGATACCAACAAAATACCAAACACATTAGGATTGAAATACCAAATACCGAGTTGGTATCGGTTTGGTATTGGTATAGGTACCAAAAAGTCGGTATCCGATTGACATCTCTAATGTGGATGAAAGGCGGTAAGGACTATCACATATATTCCGGTTTTTGCGAAATTCAAAAAACTTTTTGGATTTTTCGATTATTATATCCAAAAAATCTATTTTTTGATTTTTGGGGGTCTAAATCCAAAAATTTCAAACATTCGAGATAGCAGTTTTGTAGCCCTGTCCAATCTACAGCTTTTATGTCTTTATTATTTTTCTGTATTTGCAAAGCTATAGGCCTCACAGCTTTATTATTTTTCTGTATTTGCAAAGCTATAGGCCTCACAGCTCTTCCCGCGAAACCCTTTTTTGGGTCGAAAACGGCAGAACATGACGTCACTCTGACGTCATTTCCGGCCAACCTATCATAGCCTTTGGAAAAATTTTTGATCACAATGTGTAAAATTGATGTCCGGAAGGGTACTGAGAGTTTGGTGACGATCGGCGCAGCGGTTCTGGAGATATATCGAAAAGTCTGGAGGGGGGGGCAAAAAATAGCCCCCCCACCAGGACGCGGGTTAAAACACGCCCCCCCCCCCCTCCGTCCGCAGGACAAGGGTCAAAACAGAAATATATGAACAATCTCATGATATTTTCATGATTCAGGATAGGGGCATGTTGTTCAGGTTTCCTGTCCAGAGTCCATATTCATCAAGCTTGAGTTCGGTAGGTACTATTGGTCTCAAGATAAGGGTCCAGGCGACCTGTAGGTTTGATGCGGTGAATACCCCCACCTTCGCCACACTCGCTCGGTGCTACGGAGCTCCGATCTCGCGACCGGTCACCTGTACTTGTAGACTGTGCCGCATGACATAGCAGTTCAGCGGGCCAGCGGAGCTTAGGCGGAAACTAGCGCCGCGTTTGACAGAGAAGGGCGCTTACCATTCCGGCGGGAGAGCCGCTCGCCATTTTAACTCCATGTAGCGTCTCGCTGACAGTGAAAGACTCTACAGGACGACACTACATGGGTCGGCAAAAGTTATGTCCACTACCCATGACAACACTTTCCGGTTCCTAATCGTGTCTACACCTGAGGGATGACGATTCAGGCTGCACTCCTGCATTGCACGGTCCTTGGCGGCAGAACATGAGGTGACGAACGGACCTCGGGTCACGGATCACCGAGCTACGGCCATTTTCACAGAGATTGTCCACCTGAAAGGCTGCGTCGCTACATGAAGGTCTGACATTTCTATCAAGGGAGCTGAACCAGACAGTCGGCATGCTCCAGGCCGAAATGACACAGCGTGTCATTGCTGATTGGTTGGGACATCTGCCTGTTGTTTTTGTTTGCAAGTCTTAATTATAGACGAACTATCTGCACAGCCCGGTGTTGGTGGGATAAGCATACGGCTGCTGGCAGTGTCGCTGATCGTTCCAGTTTGCAGAGTGCGCCTACCATTTCAAACGTTACAGAAGTCGCATTGAAAAAGGCGGCCGGGAAGAGGGGCCAATAGTTCGCGACAAAATTGGCCAAACGGCTCGCGCTGAAGCGCTATCACATCTCCAAACGGGACCGTGAGACGCTATTGGAAGAGCTCTCCGAGGCTCATTACCTACCTTTGGCCCAATGCTAGGCCAACGCATGGTCAATGACATGTTGATGTAACGCTGGCGGTTACATTTTGCCAATTTTACGGACCTCAACATAAGACTACAACTCAACCCCGCGGCGCGACTCAAAGAAGAGGATAGAAAATGTAACGTTAATGCGGTTACATTTTCTATCATTTTTTGCAAATAGCATCATTGGCTGCAACGGAGACCTTTTTCTAACTTCAATTCCGTTCTGTTCCTGGCTGCAAACACGGGCTACGACGCTACGGCTGATCAGCGTCCCATCTGGCCACCAGGTCCCCCACCGCGCCGAGATACCGAAAACATCCATTTTTAGCCCGGCCACATCGTCAAAAGGGTGTCGGAGCGGCATAACGGGCTTAGTACCGTTATTCGAGATCCGGGATCGCCGCCCGTCTGCTGAACAACAACTCTTACAAGCAGCGTATTTCTCGGTTCTAACATTTCAAACGTTTCGGCACAAAAGCAAACTGCTTCAAACAGACACCCGCCACGACAGCTGCGCGGCGTCAGCGGCCAAAAGCGGTCATAACAGCCGACCGCCGACAGGGCGCGAAGAGGGGGGACGGCCCGGTCACACGGTCGCGCATAACGGTACAGCACCTGCGCGGCCGGGCAGCCGGCACCGGCGTTGTCATGACAACGGCCCCTCCGGAGGCTGCGCGTCAGAAAACGGCGGAGTAAGGTCGACCAGCCTGTATAAATCTACATGAGATTCAACCAAACTGAACCGGCCAGCGAGACCAGCCAGCGGACTGACGTCAAGGTCGACAGAACGTGCAGAACCTATTGGAACCTAACCCTTCGAGAGAACCGGCGGACAGCAAAAAAAGGGGCGGAGCTAGGGACGAGCACCAGAGAAGAGCCCCAGGGCAAGTGCAGGCAGAACGGAGAGGGCATGGGAGAGGAGCAGTCAGTCAGGACGGGAGGAGAGGAGCAGTCAGTCAGGACGGGAGGAGAGGAGCAGTCAGTCAGGACCGGAGGAGAGAAGCAGTTGGGACGGAGGAGAGGGGCAGTCAGATCGACCGGGAGGAGGAAGGCGGCCGCGCTGGAGGAGCAGGAGACGAGATTGCCTGGGTAGCGGGATCGGCGCGGTGGAGGATGGCTCCGTGACCCGTGCTGCTGAGAGTTGACCGGGGGAGGAGGACCGAGCTGCTGGTAGAACCTCTGGAGCTGCCCGTCTGCGCCGGGGCCCCGCCCGTCTACTCGTCTCGATGCCGCCCTCGTCAGCCAACCGTCAGCCCAGTGCCCCAGCGAGCAACTGTACGAGATTCGGCAGCCACCACCAAGTAAGGTCAGCACTCAGCACCGGTGACACTTAAGTCTGCTAGCCCGTCTCATCCTTACCCTGTGCCCCTGTCTGCCACCCTGGTTCTCTCTCTCCCTGAGTTTTTTTTTTTTTTGGCATAATTAGTTTAATGATGGGCCTGATTAGAGGGGGCAGTAGCGTATGTGTGAGGGTATGTGAGTGTGGTGTGTGGGATGATTGATGGGGCCATTAGCGGGGTCACAGCGGCGGTGCGCCCTGGCACCTGGCGCTGTGACGTGGCGTCAGGATCGGGCTCTGCTCCGCTCGTCAGGTCAGAGGCGCCCACCGACCGTTAATCTCTGAAGGGGGGGGGGAATTGAATGTTAACTGCCTGCGCGCATTCATCTGACCGGCATTTCGTACGGCCACCGGGTTTGATTGCAGCTCGTCATTGCTTTTGTTTTATCATTGCTTTTAGGGTTTGGTTGCTTTTGGTTCATCATTCGTGTCACCACCTCTAAAGTCCAAGGTGAACTTGATTATTGGCGCTGTTCAACATTTGATATAAACTTCATTAGCATTGTTCTGCTTAAAAATTTTCTGACTGTTTTCATCTCTTTGCCTTTGTGAATAAGAACGGGGATAGTGAAACGATTCTTTCAGAGGTCATTGGGGAAATATGATAACGGTTGGGGATCGATTGGGAGACTAAAACATGTCCATGGTCGGGTGAGGGTGCTTCCGTGGGTTTTGCCAACAACAATACTGAAGGGACACCGTATGGGTATTATCGGGTCACACTTGGGTCCGATAATCACGAGGAATCCGGTTGCGAAAATGATTCGTTTCAAATCGGCGTCCATGCTAGCGGAGCGGCCGAACCGGCCGAACGACGGTTCACTGAGATCATGTAGTTGGTCGTCCCGGGAGCAGCTGGTGACGGCGCTCCCGTAGTTAAAGGCACCTGCATTAAGTCGCTGTTCTCTGCTGTTTTTTTTTTATTCAATTTGTTTAGTTCATTCAGCCT